GTCAAGGCGTGAGTCAAGGCGTGAGTCAAGGCGTGAGTCAAGGCGTGAGTCAAGGCGTGAGTCAAGGCGTGAGTCAAGGCGTGAGTCAAGGCGTGAGTCAAGGCGTGAGTCAAGGCGTGAGTCAAGGCGTGAGTCAAGGCGTGAGTCAAGGCGTAAGTCAAGGCGTGAGTCAAGGCGTGAGTCAAGGTTTATTTGGCTGTTGTTGGTAGGCCTATCCAAGCAGACATTGGGGGAGGGGGTGACCCCCATCCCCCCCACCAGGGGGGGTTGGGTCAAAGGTCACAGGGCGGCAGGCGGGGCCAAAAATCCTCACAAAATTCGGCCCGTTTTTTTTAAAGAATTAAGAATGAATTCCTTTTATAATTGAATTCAATGAATTTCAAATGAAGTGACCCATATGACTAAATGAATGTGAATTAATATTACCAGGCCAAAAAAATGACTGAATTCCTGCGACGTTTCAGTGACGTCACGTTTTGTTTATAGTTTAGTGACGCTAATTTCGTAGGCCGCCGTCGAGATTTTAATAGGCCTCTACTGCACGCATTGTGGCTACAAAAGGTTTAGCGATTACGACTTGTTAAGAAACGTTAAGACGGGATTACGATTTGTTAAGAGAGGTTAAAACCGGATTTTTGCCCTGGATTACACGAGGTTAATTGTGACCTGGGCAGACAAAATGTCCAAATACTGACATGTTCATAATGCATGTTACGGACAAGGTTATGCTGATGCACCGCTCTCGTCGTCTACTGTACCCATGGCAAGTTAAGCGTGACTATCGTACGTGTCTTTGGTATGGCAACACTACGCCACTCCTCTGATATGGCAACACTACGGCATCACGATTTTCCCTTATAAGCGAGTGACGACCCCGAAATATTGCACGATTTTCCCTTATAAGCGAGTGACGTCCCCAAAATATTGCACGATTTTCCCTTATAAGCGAGTGACGTCCCCAAAATATTGCACGATTTTCGCTTATAAGCGAGTGGCTCTAAAATAAAAGCTGGATCCCCAAATCGTGTTTCTGACAATGACACAATGCGTCCATTTTAGCAGTGGAAAGTGCATTAAAATTTTGGCCTGCACAGGATTTGATGGCGTACCACTTTTGCCTCGTGTGGTTTAGCAGCGACTTCACCTGTCGTCATCATTAGCAGCATCAAGAGATACGTCAGTAATCTTATTTATAATAACATCAATAACATATTTCTCAATTTATTCATCAGGTATCAAGGACAAGATAAACACTGACTTCACTTACAGTCATAATTAGCAGCATCAATAATTTCTTCAAGTTATCAATAATTTCTCTAAGTACGCTGTAAAAATAACGAAATTAAAGCGTGGTTACTTGGAGCGTCTGGCTCGCGATTACGCTATTGAACAAATAAAATTAAAGCGAGCTAATTGGAAGCGAATAGTCGGATATTTTCGAAGGAGACTACCTTCTCGTCGTCGTCGATGTGGTCGGTGTGTCGGATGCACATGAAAAGGATGTACGCATGCAGTCCAGGCAGCAGCGTCACGGCTACTCGCGGTTTCAGGTCTGCCAAAAGCTCAGCAATTACCTCAAGTGTTCGGGACCGCGCCACGAACACTTATAAATATGCCAAACTCACAATTTTTTTAAAACTAATTTCTCCATGTCGCTACGCAGTTAATATTACCTTCATATTTACAATCTCATAAGCATATCCACAAGTTAGTAACAAGGCGGATATGCTTTATAATTCATTTAGGTAGACGATGAGAAAATAGCTGTTTGAACAGATATACTGTGAGACAGTAAGCAGCGATGAAGATCATGATATTGACTGTATCGTCAGTGTTGATGACAACGATCAAGAAACTAGCACAGATCAGCAAAACCGCAGCATGAGCTGCTCCATGAAGAACCATTCGGTTTAGACGATACGCGAGTAGTAGAAACTTCACTCACAGAAACACCAAGACTATTTTTTCAAAAGCGAAAACTATGCTCCATTGATAGTTATCTCAATACTGAAAATTACAAAGATTTTCAGTTGCCTGACACAGAGCAAAAGTACAACGTATAATAAGGGACGAAAACTAAACATGAACCTGAAAAACACTGATCTGGTCTAACATCACTCCAGCTGAACGTAGAACTACTGCTGAAAATATTATTCAACCTCGACCAACCGTGAAGCCTGAAGTTTCGTCTACTGTTAGCCATTTATCAGCTTTGAATGCATTCTTTATCAATGACATCACAGCTATTGAATACAACGAAAAAAATTCAACCAAAAGGCATTCAAGCACGAAAGAATGCAAAATTTTATTACATAAAAAACACTGACCATGATTAATTTTGTGGTTACAAATAAAGGAATGTGCATTTAGCATTAGAAAGAAGCACTAATAACACATACTTGCTTCATAAGTTTGGAAATAATAATAAGAACGCCGACGAAAAATAATCAGTATTTTTTATAACCCTTTTGCCCATGATCCCCATTTGGGACTTTTTCTTTAAACTACTGCTCCTCTCATTATATCCTCTACAATTGTGCAGAAACTGTTTTATATGACATATTTACACCATACGAAGGCATTTAGATGGAAATTTCACAAATAAAAAATTTGGGCGTTAATGGGTTAAGAATTCAAAAGTAAAATATACTCATTGTTGCTCTGCACCAACATTTTCAAGAAGCTCTTATTGAGCCTCATTTTTGATAAAATAAAATAAATAATAGAAATAAATAAATAAAAAATAAATAGAAATAAGCAATAAAAATAATAGAAATAAGCTCGAGAAAACATTTCACCACAATGTGGTGAAACGTTCACACGTTTCAGAGACTTACACTTAATAACGTGAATTCAGAGATACCAACAGTCCTTGCACTTGTTCACGCTGCGTCTGTGACAGCTCGAGTGTTCGAGACCACCAGTCCATGCACAACCTGAACTTCCTTACATTACCATGTTTTATCAACATCATAACAATGGCAATGCAATTGCAACGGCTCGATTGTTGCGCACTCAGCTGCTGAGAAACAGCAGCTCCCTTCAACATGTTTTAATAAACACCAGGTGAGGAAATGTACGCGACGCAGCGACTGCTTCATGGAAGTTTTATTGCAACATTCGTTAGTTGGCTAGAAGCCGCATCTTTGAAGTCGAAGAACATTCTTCATTCTTCTTGAGTTGGAGTTAAGTAAATTATGTTAAGGAGTTCCATATTATGAGTTTATTTCGAAATTATTCTCTTAATTTATTCACACAAACATTTCACCATGAATAAATTGAGAGAATACATAATTTAAAAAATTTAATTTTTTTATTAAAAGAAGATTGAAAAATAAATTTGTCTGCTAATAATCTTATAATCGATATTTAACACACTTCTACCCGTCCAATCGATCAGAAATTTGCACACTTGCGTAAAGTCGAAGGCAATGCAATAATTAATTGACAGAATGAATAATTTTTAAATGTCAAAATTTTTTTAACATAAAAATAGTAATTGATTCTTTTTATATATAAAAATAAAATAAGAAATTCATTGTACATGTGTAACATCAGAGACACTGGACTCAGAAGTTTTGTTTTTAAAAGGTAATTTTTAAGCGTAACTATTTATTTATATGGAGGATATGAGAATATTTTACCTCACTTACGCTCATACAAAAGTACAAACACTTTCTTCACCAGCAAACACTTCAGCACTCGGCACACTGTTCCCTAGGATTTGTTGCAATTGAATGTGCATTGATTTATGTCTTTACTAGGGTTTCATGCATAGTTTTACTCGGGTCTTATATAAATAGCTTTCCTGGGACCTTGTATTATAGCTTTTTGGGGGTCTTATATGTACGTATATATAAATATGTTTGCTGGGTTCTTATATATATATCGCTTTACTAAGGTCTCACTTACGTATATAACTTGACTGGGGCCTTATATATGTATAGCACATGTGGGGTCATATACATATTAATTTACTTGGGTCCTGCTTTACTGGCGTCTTATTTATATAGGTTTACTGGGTCTTTCTTTCCCATAAAAATTCATAAAATGCGGTCTCATGGCCAGTGCGAGACGCAGCGTAATCCTTGAACGATATAAATTGCGAGAATCAATCTTAATTAGATTCGATTAAAAACAGTGAAAATTAGAACGAAGATTAGGCAATTTGTCTACGCTCCTTTCGGGGCGCGGATGACTATAAAATAATTTGAATGCAATTTAAATCACGAAATGAGTTTTGATACTGAGAAGAAGAAGGAAATTTAAAAAGAGACAAAATTATAAAAAAATTTACGCATCATGTTAGTTGTTAGGTTAAATAATATTTCACTGATTGCCTAAATGTGAAAGAATTTGCAATATGATTCAACAATTTGAAGGGTTTTCTGCATGAAATGTAAAAATCAGTGTAAAGTTTACCCTATAATGTTGAAATAAGAAAGTTAATAACCCATATTCGCCTGTTATTTATTTGTCTAATATATGTGTTATTTGTCTAATATATGAATCAACTTGGGACAAGTTTTTTAAACAATCAAAGTTGAATTTATTTAATTATATTTCAATTTACCAGGGAAAGTCAAAACTTTCACGACAAAGTAGGTGTATATTTATATATAATGTGAATAAAATAAAATAAATTAATCTTCATATACAACTGAAGCAGTTATATTTAATTGTTATACGAATAAACTTGGGTTAATCATTACAGTATACAAGACATAATCTGGTAGGATGTAATTATGTATTGAAGACTAGTGGGAAAAATCTTTTAATGTTTAATTTAATGATTTTTAATTATATTATTAATATAATAATTTAATTTATTTTATTTGAGATTTATTATATATTATCCCTACTCTACCGTCTACCTCATCCCTACTCTACCATCTACTTCATCCCTACTCTACCGTCTACCTCATCCCTACTCTACCATCTACTTCATCCCTACTCTACC